CAATTAGAAATTTAAACGTGTTGTGATGTTTGTAATTGGAGAAAGTTATACTTTGATTTAAAAGGCTGCTTGATCTTTGTACAAATATTCCAATGCAGTCAATGATTGTTCAATTATTTTCCTTGAATATGTCTGGCATTGTTCTGTCAACATCTTGGCGACTAGGGAAATTATTTAACACTTTAAGTTCACAATGTAAGAGGGCAATCCAAGTGGAAAAATATTTAGAGAAAGTTCCTGCTGAGATACCAAATCTGTCTGATATATCCTGGACAAAAAGGCCTAGCCGTATCCTCATCAGAACTGCAAATAGCTGATCAATAAGATTTAATGACCATGTGCTTGACCTTGTTCTGTCAGGCTGGTTCTGACTTTTACCTCCACTCCAATAGGTGATACGTTCAGCGTTTGGTCTAGGAAACCTGTAATATGATGAAAATGGTTTAATTTCTCCCCGTTTTACATCTTTGTAGAGATAAGTATGTTAATGTTATATTTTGTTTAACGTCCTATTAACAGCTAAGGTCATTTAAGGACGGCCTCCCCTGTGTGCAAGATGTATGCGGGTAGTGTATGTGTGTGTATTTTGGGAGGCTGTGATACGTTCGTGTTTGTCTCCTTGTGATAGCGCGGAACTGATGCCGACTTTATAGTGCTTCCTCACTGAAACATACTGCCGAAGACACGCAGCAGGACGCCCCACCCGGTCACATTATACTGACAACGGGCGAACCAGTCGCCCCACTCCTAATTTGCTGTGCGTTAAGCAGGAGTATAAACTACCATTTTTAAAGACTTTGGTATGTCTCGGTCAGGGGACAGAGTCCAAAACCTTCCGCACAGGGGCGAACGCTCAACAAATGGCCAAAAGTGAGGCATTGTCAATGGAGACATTAGGAAGAAGAAAGTTATTTAGAAAGGAGAGAATAGATAAGGTCCTAAATTTAGTCGCCTCGTACGATCATGCAATTGGGGGCAGCAGGTACAATTCTTACGCCCTACCTGCAGGGCAATATTAATGTTATAAAGCATAATTATAAACCATGCTTATCTCTGGTAAAGAGGGGAATTATTAGGCATCGCATGACCAAAACTATAATCATACACTGGTGTTGACCTCAGATTAACCTTTTATTGCAGTTAGGTAAATAAGTACAATTTTTTTCTATGTTGACAGCATCATACAACATAGAAGTTCCATACAGTCAAATAATTTGTTATTTCACTTTGTTCAAATTTTTACAAAATTGAGTAACTGTGTTTATTACGACAATTTGTACCTAAAAAGCCAAAAGAAAACTGCACAAGTTGGCAATCCAGTGTAGAATTTGGTGCTTGTATCATTGTCTGATATCTGTTCTGTACTCCATCTTGATTTAAGCAGCTGTTCCTTGTACCTTTGAAGCTCCTACTTCAGTATTTTGTTTTCTTCGATCAAGTCAAGAGGTTCAGTTTGGCATTCTGAATATTAACAACATAGTTTATACAAGGGTAAAAATCAACCGCCACCACTCAAATACTGTTTCCTTATTATTGTCATTGGAATTTGTTTGTACTGCGTATGAATTGGTACTTTCATTGATACTGGCAACTCATTTTTTCCTCAATTAACAATTGCATTAGTTGAAAGTAAACAGACATGTCACTCAAATTAAAATTCCAAATACTGAAGTAGATCCTAATAAAACTTAAGAAAATGATTAAATGTACAGTGCATCTGGAAGTGGGCATAATACAATTCAGCTAAAGGAACCTGTACATTATTCATAACTAGCAATAAGCTTAGTCTTGGAATGAAATAATGTCTGAATCATCTGTTGTTTAAAGTTCCATATGAGCAGTTTCTGCATGCTCAGGTGATGCTACTTCACAATAGGAGTGTGTAAAGACAGAAAACATTTTATGTTGATCCTCTGTGTATTTCTTTGACTTCTCTGCTTCAACAAATTCCTACAATTTATATTTACAATGTACATGTATATAAATGTTATTCAGTACACATGGTACGAGATGTGTATTATAAATAACACTTTAACAAATGATAGATTATGTGTTTATACATGTAAGTATAAATGAAACTCTCTATTTTTGATAAACAAAACAAAAACAATTTAGTTCTTATTTTTTTAAAATTTATTCATCTAATTTTTGTGTATTTCTATACCCCTTTTATCTCGATAAGTGGATGTTATGTTTGATAGTTCAAGTTATTGATTTTAAGGGAAAAAAACTAAAATAATGTGACAAATATTTTCCTTACATATGTCATAATGTAGTACATGTATATCACAATTCTACCTAAAAATATGTAAAACCTTTTTATACATCCATGCAGACCTTAAAATAAATGACTTGATCTTTGACACTTTAAGGTCAATATGATTTTAAAAAATGTTTGAGTTTAAGATAAATGTGTACATTATTTTAATACAACACCACATCTATGTGTGTGCACCTGTTCAAGATTTCTTTTATATACCCTCTGGTCCCTAGCTTTTTCTGTTGGTGTCGATTGTTTCTCTTTATATTGAAATATTGTTGGCCGATAATTGACGTTCTCATAATCATAACTGTGCCACCCTCCCTCGAAATGTGTGGAGCAAATGTAGATAGCATTCGCTGGAGTCCACGTGTCATGGTTTACAGCCTTTATCCATGCTAACCGTTTTTTCTTGTCTACGGGAAAACGAAAAAAACTCATTTCCTGCTCCTTGCCACGAGCATCAGCTCTGTTGAACCACAAGATCGTACCATTTCTTGCGTCCTGTTACCAGGAACGTGGTTATGCGAATGTCGAGAAAGTAGGACCGGAGCTAATGTGAAAGAGACTATTGGGGACTATGAATGAGGATTTTCCTGAGCAGTTATTTGATAAATATCGAACTCGTCATAATTAATAGCTAAAATATATTACCAAAGAAATGGATGTTGTTGATGTAATAATGATGTATATTTAAGCTCATATATTAAAGTACTATATTTTACCACAGTCCACTGATTTACGAAGAGCAGCGTATAATGGCCATACCGACATTGTTATACTACTGTTGGGAGGGGGAGTCCATCCTAATCAAGTGAGTTTTGGCGTTTATTTCTTAACATATTGGCTTAAACAAAGGCAAGCAAATTAAAGTCAGACTCGATATATTTCATTGGAATCACAAACATTTGCATCATAATTAAATTAAATCTGTAGTTTTATGTATGTTTGTTCATTTCAACGTACTTTATGTGTTGTTTTGTTTTATTCAGCAGGCTACATCAACCAGTTGAAGGATACTGGCACGCATTTTTAACTACAGCAAATATCATTACACTACGCCCCAAACAATTGAAATTACCATTTAAAATTAAAACCTCTAATTACAAGTTAAAAGAAACTGACATATTACAGGAAATATCAATACACTATGTGTGATGACACATTTTAAACCCTGGTTTTGTTAATAGTTTTGCGTCTTTGACCCAATTTTACTTGAATTATCTTTCTGCGGACATCCTTTGTATACCATGATCGTTTCGATACATTACAAAGTCTTTGCATTAGTAAACTACCATATTGGGATCCCAGACATTCAGTAAATAAGATAATACAAATAATTAAACAACTGCAGAAATATCTAGATCAGCTTACATAAATAGTATGCTTAAATTGCATTAAGCATAGCTTTCACCTATGTATACGAATGGAAAGATGCTGCTTTCGTTTTCGTCCTTCTTCTTGACAAGTACAACCCCAGATGCCCAGGTGCTAGTGGACCTTTTTAATGATTCCTCGTTCCAGCATGTCATCAACTTGCTTATCGGCGTCCAGCAGTGAATGGAAAGGAAGACGTCGTGCTGGTTGCTGAGTCGGTCTTGCATCGCCAGCGTCCATGGAATACTTTACAACATCGGTCCTTCCCGTCTCTGTCTGTTTTGGAGAACAGGCTGCCGTATTCACACACCATGTTTGCCACGTCCGCCTCCTGTTTCTTGTTAAGACCATCGATAGATCGTTGATATAGATCACGTAAATGTTCTGGAGCCTGAAGTATTAGAGCAGGTGCACTATCAGGGAAAGCACTCCTTACCGTTTCGAATTGAGCTGTATTAGTACCGTTATAGATGATTCGTCCGATGTGTTCACCTGTCTTATAGGCATGCCATCGGAATGCCGGGGCAATGTTCTTCTAACGTGAGTTTAACTCTCCTCAATAAAATAAGATATAGGCTCAAGTATTCCAATAGGAAAATACTAATAATCATAACTTTTCCTGCAAATTAGCATTTCATGTATTTATTTTTCGATGTTGATTTCTTGTTAGGAAGTGTTCATTTACCAAATGAAAAAGAGTGATGACCTGTTTGCAAATATATACAAATTAGGTCATAGAAAATGACTAGCTTCGGATATCCTACATAATTAGAAATGTTCTTTATGTCATCGAATAGAGGGACCGTTAAGACACCGCATCTGATCGGTTAACTGATTGATTGAAATTCTCAGGAGCATATCCTTCAATTCTGATGTATTTCTTATGATTTTTTGTTACATCTACCCTTATTTTACAGTTTGAATCTGGTAAAATTGTAATATTCTGAAAAATAAACATAGTAAATCTAAATATTAGAAATCAACATATATCAAACGATAAACAATTTGATGACAACTATACCATAAAGTATTCCTATTCAAGATGTAAACTTTAATTCACGGAGATGAGTAGTACATGTACACATTTTTTTTTCGATTAAAAAAGAATTGGTGTATGTATGTGGAAAACCCCCCATTTCAATACGATGTTACTGTAACAATTGAATTTTCAAATTGATAAAGTACTATTTTGTTAAGATCTATTTGAAAAAGGTGTGTATTCTTCGGCAGAGGTAACCCCTGAGTTCCATTATTTCTCCAATACATTTCTTCGGGTTTTTATATGACACGATTATAAATATGTTTGCTAATCTTACCGATGAAAAAAAGTAAATGAAAATGAGGAGAACTCATTTGAGTGAATAAAATGTTTTATTTCCCAAGATATACACAACTTGTCGGAAAATGGAAGGATACCTACTGTTATGTTTATCTAAACATGTACATAGTCTTCACAAGTACATATTGATAATATAAGCACGAATAAAATATGTTACAATGTGATGAATTTTAAGCATACGACACATATTTAATGACACCTGCTGATAGTTAATACATTTTAGTCAGCCTCAGAAACAAAATAAATGCGCAGATATACCAAGTAGACGTCATTAAGCGCCCTCCAGCGGCAGTGTTGTATGCATTGCAGATATCACCTTCACAACAATAGGTACAGTAATTAGAGACAGTGTCGCAGAAGACGTCTTCGTTCAAACTCATTTTGTTGTAGCACCTGTTTCTGTCCATGCAACCCTGTAATTAAAACATGGTCCAACAGTATTAGTGGTATCGTCAAAATGACCCGCTATTTAGCTAATTATATTTTGAACGTTACTGCATGGATACTATGGACTTCATCGTGACACGCTGAGACTTATAAGACTATTGTTTATGATATATACTAATCATCGAAAAATACCAAAACAAAGGCAAGTACTGCAATGTGGTAGTTGATGTTCAAGACTGTCAAATCATTATTATAAAATGACTTAAGGAAACGCACTGTGTCGCTTTTTATATGACAAATGATAATAATGGGGAAAATATTTATTGCGTTTCATAGAGGTTTGACATTTTTACAGAAGTGTAAATGATGGATATGCGATCATGTTAAGTTGTATATGTCTTATACACATTAATTATTACTTTATAATATCTTTTGCCCTCCAGAACCCGTCTCTGAACTTCAGTGTAACACACCTCCCCTTCTGCACATGTCAGGGTAGGTAGCTGCAGACAGTCGAATTGTCGGATTCCATACTCACACGAGTAACACTCGGTAGCTCGTCCTCCTGGTAAATGACAAACAGCAATTATTGAATGAGAAGTAAAGAAATCAGTAATCTATTTTATCATTCACGACGGGAAAGTACGCACGTGTCAGATCACGTGAGTTTATCGACAGACATTGGACATATTTTGATTGTTTTGTATTAGTATGAATCTCAATTCATGCAAGAGCTACAAGTATCAAAGTATAATAAGATACTGAAACGTTCCTTTTGTTTAAATCAAAATAAACTGATGTTGTTTTGTTTTCAATTAATATCAAGATCTAATTTACAAAACCGACGATATCATCAATGTGTTTTTAATGTGCTAATTGTTGCCAAATCTCATTTTCTATGCTATGTTGCTCTTGTATGTGCAATGTTTGAAGACACTGTTAGTGATTATCGCATTTGAGTTAATGAGTTAAAAACAATACGACTAGTTATTCAACAGTAGTCAGCTATCAATTTATGAGATTCTGGATCAGTATCTGTACCTGCCATTTATGTTATTTCTTGTAATATTATGAATTTGCTGTAATTTCTTTTTTGTTAAATATCAATTGATAAACTTATTATTATACTTTAGTAATAAATATTCACTATATGAAGTTCTAGGACAATACGTCTATAAACACTTGAATATAATTCGTTGCTAATTGGAAACTCCTGGGTATCTGTCCTCTCGCGACGGCGCATAGGCCATACCTACATCACACATGACTACATTTTGCGTAATGAAGGCAAGCCTTATTGTCATGCAAGCGATCAACCATTTAAAGTCAAACACTCTTTGATTGAATGCGCTGATTTCAAACAAATACGTGACAGAGTTTATGATGTACCGTCTATGAAAAGATTATTCGATACAGTTTCTGTGCAATGGATATATGACTATTTACATTCTTGATTTTTACAATAAAATATGATATATTGTGCAGCCAATTTGGTCGATATTGATGTACTTCTTTAATCCTTTACATATTTGAAGCTATTAAGTTAAGTTTTGGTTTGATGTGTTTATTTTCGTGAATGCCTCTTTTTACAGTATTGCTGGCCCTTAATTACTCACATTGTCGATGGCCCGTTAAAAAATACAAAAACAAAACATAAATATCTCTTTCTCCGTAACTAAAACCTTTTATTCACGTTTTGTTGGAATACTTTTTTGACTAATTCCATTGGCTGTGATACACAGTGGTGCACTAATAAGTGTATTACATATGTTACATATTACATATTACATATGTTGTTGCATATAACTGAAAACGTTGGTGTTGACACATTTCTTGACGAGAAATAAGGCAACATGTTGGAATTCAAGACAATAATATCACCAATGTTGAAATTGTTGTTACAGAAAATATTTGCTGAGTTAAAAATAAAAGAAAGATATAGAATAGATGAAATGGAAACACTTACATGTATGAGCTTTACTGATACTCCCATCAAAGTAAGAATGAGGAAATCAAACAGATTTGATTTTGATAAAGATAAACATAATAATCAAATTATAAAACTTGGCCACAGCACGTTTGTCACCATTACTTTCTGAAAAGGGTCCAGCGTCAGAAACCTGCTTTTACCCATATAGCAATGTCAACGAACCCAATCATTGACGAGATAATACTATAGTTTTACTTCGGTGTCGTGTGTAATAAACGTTAACCTTAGTGCTATAGTTATATTAACGACGTACAATGTCGGCAGTAGTTTGCTTTTAAACAGGTTCGTCAAAGTGATGAGTCGAAAATAAAAAATAGATATCTCAATTATCTGATCAATAGTGCATGATCTCTGTAATTAGTCCATAGAGTTATATTAAGATTAATATTTTATGAGTGGCTGGTACGATAATTACCACTGGGAACATACGATCCTTTTAATGTGGATATCATTAATCTCGAAATATATAGGAGAACTTTATTTATTTAGACAAGTTGATGTTTTATGAAAGATATAAATCATGTTATTATTATGTTTATTTCTCACATAGAAAAATATATGTTCAGTAATTTGAATGTCCATCAGATACTGGAGTAAAGCACATATGAAATGACTTTCCATGGGGAAAATATAATGTCGATATACAAGTATGTTAAAAACGTAATAGGTCAATGCACATATATATAAAGTCTGAAGATATCTAAATACGTTCAAATATACTTGAATCACCTCAGTATAGAACAGTTAAATACAAAGACCATTAACATGCAGTACACGTTGATTAAGAGAAACGCTCATAAGTATTTGTTTTCTAATATACAGTCCGGTTTGTATATGCGATACAGCTAGTTATAAATGTTGCCTTGATCTTCATCCGCCTGACAAGTATCGAACTGCCCGGCACGCTAAATCCGTTCTACATTCGGTATTGCTGATTCTTTAACACTCCTGGTCTATTCATATTAAAAATATTACGTTTGACTTTAATTTGCTTTGTATGAAAAAGGATAAACATTACACATATAATAATTATTGCACCTTTGAAATTTGGTAAAAGATACCTCTAGATCTCATCAGTGATACTAGGGGCCAAAAAAAGTTGAAGAATCAGAGAGGCAAATGTGTATTTTCGAGCCTATACTATCAACATTTTATCGGAGAATCTTTGTGAGGGGTTTAACATCACAACAACTAGGGTCATATGAATGTTTACAGCGTCCTAACGTACCTGGCATGTTACCCAATACCCTTACCTGTCCAATCAGTAATCGTTGTTCAAGTGTGTAATCTACTGCATCACAAGACCATCTCAAAAACATATATTTTAATCTTTTGGATTTGTTGGTGGCATTTGATACAAATCACATTTACACTGAAATTAAATTTATTGTTGCCTTCCAGTATGTTTTCTCTGGTGAGTGTTGCAATAAATGTTATTGTTACACTATATATTAATCAGAAATGAATATCTTCTTCAATGCTTTAAGTGTCAAAGAACGTTACGGATAACACGAATGCCGTTTTATATTAGTTTAAAGTAAAGTGCCCAGTAAACAATTTAACCGAATATTGCATATTTGTTTGAACTTATAGCGTTCATTATACTGTGATATATACCCAACCTTTATGTATCATTGCTAGTATATATGTAATAGTGTTCGTATTCAAGCAATCGCAGGAAAGATGTTCGATGAGTAATGCACCCTTTCTAAAATAAAAAACCTAACAACAGAGCTTACCTTTGGTGAGAAAGGAAATGACGAGTATTGTGTACAATGTTACATTGTACATTGTCCCTTTCATGGATCAAATTTCAAGCCATCATGTCACTAACAATACGCGGCCGTATCGCGTCGTACGCCGGCTGGTGATGTGTCCTTGTTGTTGTTCACATATACACCGCTATATCATCCAGGTAAATGCTATTTGTGTAGTGCTGTCGATACATACAAGGATATCCGCTATCCGTCCATGTAATAACAGCTATCAGAGGTCATGTATAAAACATTAAACAGTGAAATTGCCTCATTGAAAATTCAGAGCGTTGTGGTCGGACCTATTAAGGACTTGAATATCTTATCAAAACCTGCAATATGTCAATTCATGCCATCTTATTTATATACAACTTCGATGTTTAAGTGAAGTGAAAGTGTCTCGGAGTAAATATCAATTCGATAACATCAATAGTTAAATATTGTACATATATATTAATGTATCTATTCGAGCACTTTCTGATACACTTAAAAGTACCAATATAGGTATCAATATAACGATACCGACGTTTCCATAGAATGAAACATAAGTGTGAAGCGGTATATTACTTTCAAACAATCTTTTAATGATTTTCCCCCCTTTTTATACCCCCGCAACGAAGCTAGGGTGGGTATTTTGGAATCAATCTGTCTGTCTGTCTGTCGTCCGCAGTAACGGTGAATGATCAGTATCTTATGTAATTGTGCACCGGCATTTTAATTTGGGATTAGGACCCTTTTTGATGGAGTTATGCCCCTTTGGAAGCTTTGTGCGAAATACTTGTTACTGGTGAGAGACTATTCGCTTCGCCTTAGTAAGCCTTAAGCTTAAAGTTCTGGTTTGTATAGGAGCGGGGGTATGAGTTAGACTTTAGCTTACAGTTCTAGATATTTTTACACCATCGTTAACAAATGAAACACTAGAAACCAATCCAGGATTTTGCGAGTACTTTAAAATTAAACTCGAATCATCTCTTTTCTGATTTTTTTTCCGAAACTGACATCTGATTTATCGATAGAAGACTCTGATTTCCTTGGATATTTAACTTAACATTGACACTTTACAAGTTTGTATGACTTCGCTTTGCACTGAATTGTAATCAAAATCCAGCCCGTCAGTCAGACTAGTTTGATAAACGTGTATGTCGAGTCAGTGTGATTGAAATGCAAAACGTTACATGTAATGTATGTCAGAATTAAACAAGAATGCGGAAAACAAAAGCAACGTTAACATATTTTATTTAAGAAAAGAAATCATAGCAATAACAAAACACGTATAAATATATATATGTATATACATTTGTATAAATATAATATGAACAAACGACCAAAGACGATATTACATGTTTAATATATACAGATACGGTTTTAATATTTAAAACGTTTCAGTCCACGACTTGTGAAATGAACATTGCTTTTAAATGCACTTTCTGTTACTGTATAAGATGTAGGTAAGACCACATTCCATTCTTTAGTGTAAATCAAATGGTTTGTTAGAACTGCTCACCGTGAATCCTGTGATGTATTTCGTGCCAGAGTTACATGATGGGTGACACGAATGTCGTTTTATGTTAGTTTTAAAGTCAAGTATCTAGAATACATTTAAACGGATATTGCATGTTTGAACTCATTTCGTTCTTGATGCAATATATGGAAACCCGTTATAAATCATTGTCAGTTTATAAGTTATATGTTTTATCTTCAAACAGATATCGAAGTGACCATGCATATTTTGCATAATTAATCGCTTTGATATTAAAAAGCATAAATACGAAATAAACTGTGTCATATTTATGCATAGAAATATAAAGATTATGTGATATTAAGAATATCGGTAGAGTTAACAAGTCACCACTTCCATCAGTCGTTCCCTGTGGCGAGGCTATGTTAATGTATAACTGATATGGAAGATCCTAGGCCCTATATAACTCTGAAAGTACACGACATACTTCAATTTCTCGTTACAGCCCCGGGACGTTCATATCGACAAGACAGCCATTTACAACACAGGGAGACAGCGTTATTGATGTAATGGTTTAAATTCCCTTTACAAATCTACTGAGGTATTAGAGAATTTACTAAGCACATTTTTATCTTTAACCAGCAATGCTTTATATCTACATGCATTAGACTAAGAGAGTCATGATCTTCAATCTTGATAAATATATATATGAAGACATTAGATTTTAATCTATCATTCAATTTTGTATCCAGGTGAATGAATGAGTACACATGAATGCAAATATTTTGTACATGTTACGTGGTAGATTCGTGTCGTTACTCTAGCGCCTGCTTTAAGTATAAGTTACAATTCCAGGCTTCTCAAACAAAGATGTTTCAATCTTCACCTAAGGCATTTTACAGACCTATATGTGTCGACGCGATATGGTTTTTATATATAATCGATTGCACTGAATGCTATGTTAGTATGTCTTATTTTGTCACTATCACAAGACAATATGCCGTATGCGGAGCTGGAAACACTTAAATTTGGGGTCACCCCATATCCGGGTACTCCAGTTTCCACTTTCGCTGTCATAAGACCCCTGCGTGATTCCATCATATCTCAAAAATGAGTAGTATAGGTTGTATAAGTGTTGTAAATATTTTAAAATATTTTCATATTTTTAATACATATTATTGGATACTTTTTTATTGAACAATTGCTGTTGTCTTGGAATATATAGTGGTAAAATAAAATATCAATCGGTTTTCATGAGAATATATTGAAAGCAAGAAAAACAGAAATTTGAAATTAAATATACCCAAATGGTAGAATATACAAACTTTTCATTCGATTTTAATCGCCCACAACCGATGTAGATTTCTTCACTAATGACTTATTGCATAAACCTGCTAGGAGCTGGTAAACAGTTTTGGTTACCCACTAATCCTAAGCGTGATTTCATTGGTCAATCTTTGATTATGACGTCTCGTTACAATGCTTTTCGACGTTATTTTCCATTGTGACGTCTTGTTCCAAAGCAACTTTTAAACCATCGGAATCACACACAATGTATTTTTCAAGGGAAAACTGTTTTTCAGATAAAATACGAGCGTTTTTGGGAGAAACAGGTCACCAAATTCACAATGATTAGTTTATCTTTAGTTGGCACGGTAGTCTAGAGGTAGGACGATGGGCTCATGACCGAAGGGTTGCAAATTTAAGTCACGGCACGGCACTGTGTTGTATCTTTGAGCAAGATACTTCACTCTACTTGTTCAAGTCTACTCAGCTGTAACTGAGTACGTGGTTGGGCAATGCTTGAACTGTTGCATGCTAGTTGTGAGCGCCGAAATGTCAGCACCGGCTGAATGCTCCCCCAGGGAGTTTGAACAGGCCCTATATGGTAATTTGTGAACCACTTTGAGACGACCTACGAAATAAGTTGTGATAAAGCGGGATATAAGACCCTCGACGCGGGATATAAGACCCTCGACTTATTATTCATGGGCGGATTGGTCGAAGGGTTCACACGCCGGTCCCCGAAGTTGTCGTACGCATGGAAAATTCAAAGGCAGTGTTTTTCTCCTGCCCACACAACTTTAACAACCCAGTTCGAGTATAAAATGGTCTGGGCTGGATGATGTGGTATCTGTGCTGTAGTGATTGGTTTTGTTTGTTTTAATTTGGTTTAACGTTCTATGAACAGCTAAGGTCATTTAAGGACGTGCCTCCATGTGTGTAGTGTTGCGTACTTGCGTGTGTGTATGCACGAGACAGGCTATGCTGTTGTGTTTGCCTCCTTGTGATAGCACTGATCTAATGCCAACTTGATAGTGATATCTCACCGAAATACCATACCTAAGGCACCCAACAAAGCATTCCGCCCGGTCACATTATACTGCGAACGGGTGAACCAATTGTTCCCATTTCCCTAAATGCTGAACGTTAAGCAGGGAATAACAAGTACCATTTTTTAAGGACTTCGGTATGTCCCGGTCTATGGACAGAACCCATTGCTTTCCTCACCCAGGCGAACGCTCAACATTAAGGCCGAAAGTGAGGTGTTGCCAATCAAGGCGCTAGGAAATAAAAGGTAGTTAGACGTAGAATGAAAGATAAAGATCCCAAATATTGCAATGGGTGCAGCAGATTTATTGTGGTCGCTTTTGTGTCACCAAATAGAGGACACCAAAGCATATCCTCAATTTTGCCGGGAGGTTCCCACACTAGTTCCTACGATACATGCAGTGGGTATTAGCAGGTGTATTCTTTTCCCGATCCCCTACTGTGATGTAGTGAGGTGGAACTATAAATGATACCATTCGAAGCAAGGTCCCACTGCAAATAGAACACAATACATCTCCAGCACACCGGAATTTATTAGCCAGGTGGCATAGGACTAGTAGCTAGCGCCTGATAAGGCAGCTCCTGTGAATTCCTCAAAAAAATGTATATCCTAATTGTATATCTATGTACTGTAAAGCGCTTTAGAGTGACTTATGTTAGCTAGATCAAATGTTGTATATTTTATTATTATTATTTTATTAGCTCTGACAAGTCTTAAGATATGAGGGCATACTTGTAATAATACCAGATGCCTGTAACATTAGCAGGACATCTCTAAAACCACGATCAACGACTAAATTGTCTTCTTGTTCCAACCATGTGAGCTTGTCCATGATGTTGTTTTGTAATACTTGCATCATATTTTGGCTTCCAGAGAATGGTCCTACTGGCAACCGTCTGAAGCTTATGATCTGCACTTTTTTGTAATATAAATATATGTACCATTTATTAAGGCAGTCACTTTGTCTCAAAAGAATGTTTCTCAGAATAAAGTTTTTGTAAAATGATGTCCCCTACTCAAATGTTAACGACCAAGGAACACTGAAACTTAAGATTGATTTAATGCTTGTACTACAAATGAAAGGTTTTTGAAATACCAGGCAGAGAAATGACAAAAAGAGCGGAGCACTTAATTACAAGACATATCTGTTTTCTTCATAACCCAAAAAAGTAAAAGAACATTTTGTGTAGTTTTGGTCTATACTAAAGAGGAAAGGAAAGTGACAAAGTATGAATGGATTTACAGAAACGGTTCTTTGAGCAATCTCTCTTAGCTTTGCAGGCAGGGTCCGGGATGCATGACTTAGTTTATCCGTATATTGCATTTAGATGATTGAATATAGTGCTTACTTCAAAAGATGCGTTTTTTTCAGTACCGCAT